GGAAAGTATATTTTGCTTACTTCTTAATAATCCATAATGGAAGAAATAAATGTTGAAATTAGGTGCGAAAACTTCCCCTTCTCCAATTGTTTCTACTTTTAGGTGACTTTTGTAGAAACATTTGATAGGAACTTTTTTCATATAAGTATCCCATGTATTTTTTAATAAAATATCTTCGAAGTAAAAAGAAAAGTAAAAGAAAGAATTAAAAAAAAAATGCCTAAGCACAAGGCCAAATTACCTAAATAATCTAATCAAATTCATTAAAAAAGAAGTCTCGAGAAATAAAATTTCCCACTATACTTCTCTCACTTTTTCTGTTGATAAATGCTCAAATAAAGCCTTTTTTCACTGTCCCAATTCAATTGTTTTTTTTGGTTTTAATGGCTTGATTGATTAATTATTTATTAACCTCACACTTTTAAGCAGGAGTGGCCGACCTTTTTGGGATGAGTGCCATCTTCTAATAAAAAAAGGTTATGCGTGCCACTTCCAACTTTACCAATAAATACAAAATATGAAAAGGTAAAAAATTACTTCTAGTCTTATATGTATATTACATGTGGGATTATTAAACAAATAGCGCATTTTTGATGCAAATATAAGTTGTGGAAATTTGAAAAAATAATATAACAAATAAGACAAAAGTACAAACCTAACTTTTAATGCTAAAAAATTTGCACAGGTTCAATCAGTTAGGTTAAGTATAAAATAAAAATGTGTAACTTGAAACAATTAATCCTAAATAATTATTTAACAGTATGTATTTTGTTAATGGGGTTTTTGAATTTATAGTGTTTTTTTTTACAGTCATTTATATTAGTTGCTGAAAGAGCCAAAAAAAAGGGTTTTTTTACGCTTTTCGGTTAATTTTTAAATGATATTTTTATTTAAAGGTATCCGACACGCCGAGCCCCCGATTTTAAAAGGGATAAATGTATTTTTCAATATTTAGTGCATTTTGATTAGAATACATGTATAAAATTGTTTTAAGGACTTTTTACAAAAAAAAAATTTTTTAAATACAAAATTTTTTGGGAAAAAAATTACTTTGAATAATTTTTTTCCCAAAAGTTCTTTTTGGAAAATGCTTCTATTATAATAATATTTTTTCCGATTCTCTAGACCTCAAGAGGTAACAAATTTTTAAATGCATAACTGGGAAGTCGGTTTTTCCATGCTTAGAAAACAGAAGGGGGGAAATTTTTTTTGAAAAAAACGCCGATAATTATTTCAAATGGTTGTAACACTGAAAATAATGTGAATTTTTCAAAAATTATAGTTGAGCCTCTGTACAGAGGTCTGAGCTATATACAGGCTAAATATTAATACAATAGAAGCATTTCTTACAAAAGGAGAACATTTGGAAAAAAGGTTATTCTAAGTAAATTTTTTGCCAAAATATTGTATTTAAATAATTTTTTTTTTGTCAAAATGTCCTTAAAACAATTTTATACATATATTCTAATCTAAATGACACTAAATATCATGAAAATTATACATTTATGCGCTTTTTTAAAATCATGGTTCCGAACGTAGTCGGATACCTTAATTATGTTAATAATAAAAATGCTAGAGCACAAACATATTGATACAAATCTACAACGATATCTGACAGCCAAATCGTGTAAATTTGGAAAATTTCTTGTTGTGGTATATTTGTCCAAAATTCAACATAATTCATATTCCTTGGAGCTGAAATAAGTTCCTTATATTTGCTTTTCAGCGTAGTAAAGTGCTGTAGGTCAATAATTCTGATTTTAGTTTCAGGTGGATAACAATTTACGTCTTTCAGAGATATTGTAAAAAAAAAAAAAAGTGTGAAAAGATAATTTTTTTTAAAAAAAAATTTATGATCTAGAAAATCTTTAAACCTAGCATTGAATTAATTCTAAAAAATAGATATTATAAATAGATATTATCTTAAAATATAAAAACAAATTAAACACAGATTATAAAATGCTATTGCGGATAATTTCAACAGACCTAGACTTAAATAGTTTGCGTAAAAAAAATGCAAGAACAGTTCCCAGTTACTAAATATAAGGCAGGGGTAGGTGAAACTTGGATTATAAATTAATATTATTATTAATGAATAAATAATATTAAAATTAGATTAAAAATTTTTAATAACAAATACAACATTTTTTCATTGTCTTTACATAAAGTGCATATAACACATGTTGATTTACTTTAAATATTATTTTAACATACATTATACTGAGTGTGTGTATGTGGAATGGGGTTCTACAAAAAAAATATCTTATAGTTCTAAGGGTTCTGAGAGTCGGAAAAGAGAGTTTAAAGATCACTGATATAGAGCCATGGTTAGACACGAACGACATCAGATCTAGTTACACGTTATTGGGCCTAGTGAATGTTGAAGTTCAGTTGAATTTAGCTCTAAGTCCAATAAAAGGTCAACTGCTCTGTTTTAAAATTTTTATTCTGTAATTCAATTTTCATGAATTATTCCTTTATTATTAAGAAAGAAAATTTCATTTACTTAATTCCAAAGTCCAATTCCATTGTTACTTTATCCGTAGAAAAAAATAGGTCATTTCTTGGTTTGGGTAAAAATGAATTTTATGAGAGTCAGAGTAAATTTGGTGTTCAGTACATAATATATATAGCTTTTTTTTGCTAATCCAAAAAACAAGACTTGAACTAGAAACTATCCAATCACTAGAAATTGTCGTGATTGTGTCACTCACTATCTAAAGCTCCAAGCACATTGCTGCTCATTTTCGTGAAGAGTTTTATTATTGTTATTATTATTATTGAATCTTTTGTAAGAAATTCTCTGGAAGAAAAAATTATGTTTGAGAGAAATTTGAGTTAATCCAGCTGTGTATTTAGATTGCTGCGGTTATAGTTCAATACGATTTAATGATGGATTTAGTTAGTGGTCTTCAAATTGTGTTCCATGGAACAATGGAATTCCAAAAGGCATACCCAGGGGAAAAACATACAGGGGCATACCAGTCACAATAAAAAAAAGCGCCCCTGTAGAGATACAAGTATCTAAAGCTCATCCCCTTTTTATTAAAACTGAAAATTTGATTTATATATAATAATTTTTTTTCACAACACTTTTTAAACTTTTATTATAACATAATAAAAAAAATTAACACTTATTTTATCTTGATATGTATACTTCCTACTTGATTGTGAATATTCTATTGTTTACTATCTCAGGTTCCACGAGATAGTTTTATACTCGTTAGTTAGTATAATGTCTTGCAAAACTAAATAGTTTTCGAATGGAAAATGCACCTTTTAGCATTTATGAAAAAAACACCTATAATGAAGGAGAGGAAGCAACTTATCAACATATTCGATGTTAAAATCCAAATTTAAGCAAGAACAGCTTCTAAATTTTAGGTTGCAAATTCATGCAAAAGACACGGGCTTTCTCACACAGCTATAAACATTTTAATGCCATTCAGAACATTGTGTTTAAGTGAAATATATTTCTCAAGTAGGTGGCTACGAAAACAAATTAAACTCATAATATGTAATACGAATGCATTTATTATGAATAGACAGATACTTCAACAGTTTGTGTAAAAAAATACTGGCATATATCCCATTTACTAAATATAATGCATGGGTAGATGACATTTGAATCCCAAATTAATATTGTTAATGAGTAAATTATATTTAAAACATTAGATAAGATTAGTTAATAATAAATGCAATACTTTTTTTAATTGCCTTTACATAAAGTACCTATATAAAATGTTGCTCTACTTTAAATATTATTTTGTGATATATATTCTTCGAAATATATCTATGGAATGGGGTTCCACGAAAATACTTTCTAGTTATAAGAGTTCGTTGAAAGCATCTTCAAGTTATAGGGGTTTCAAGAAAGCACCTTCAAGTTATAGGGCTCCGTGAGTTGAAAAGGTTTGAAGATCCCTGGTTTAAGTGAAATAGTGTCTTAAAATTTACTAAATTCCATTTATTTTTTGCTAGTTAAGTCATAACCAAACGTGCGTAAACATGAAAATGGTTATTGCAGATATCATTATTTAAAAAAATGTTTATTTTAAAAGATATTTATACATTGTATAACAACAACTAAAAAGAACAGCCACAATTTCTGTGTTTTAAATTTGAAGGTATTTTGAGGAGAATATGTGTGTGGGATCTGATATATACTTCATTAGGGTGGTTCGTGGTTATAAACAGAAAAAAACATTAATCTAAACTTACCTATACGGAAAAGATTTTCTGTGGCATGGAGAGAAAATATAAGAGACAGATAATTAAAAGAGAAGAATAAGAATATAAGAGAAGAATGGAATTATAAGAGACAAATAATTAAAAATGATTTGAAAATTAAATTTTTCCACAAAGGGTTGAATTTTCGGAAAAATGGGAGAAGACTTAATTTTGGTTAGATGATTTTAGACTCGAAGTAAAATTATTTTTCTAGAATATAAATGCCATAAAAAGATGGTTATTGATAAATGAACTCTGAGTAGTGAATAGTATAATGTACATTACAACATTTCATAACCCCAACTCTCTCTTCCCACAACATCGATCCAAGCTTTTTTTTCCGTCTTCCGCTTTATCGTGGACTGCAATTTCGCGAAAGTAGATTTATTTTTTTTGAAGTTATACTTCTTTTTTGGGGCATTAGAGAAATAGGACGAGGGTAAATTTTTACAATGCGTGCGCACCCCGTCACGGATGCGAAAATCCTTTGTCTAGAAATATACAGAACAAAATCATTCCCGCCTTCGAAATTCTCGAAAAATATTTCTTCACTTGCCCTGAAGAAGAAGACTCCGGGGTTTGAACCAAGGACCACTCGATCTGCAGTCGAATGCTCTACCACTGAGCTATACCCCTGCATCAGCGAATCTTTGCTTTGCGTTCCGTAGGAACGGATACGAAAATGCTTTGGTTAGAAATATGCAGAATGGGACGGATCATTCCCGCCTTCGAATTTCTCCAAAAAATATTTCGCTTCACTTCCCTGAAGAAGGGAGCATCCTGGTTCGAACCGGGATGATCTCTCGATCTGCAGTCGAATGCTCTACCACCGAGCTATACCCCTGCATCAGCGAATCTTTGCTTTGCATTCCGTAGGAACGGATACGAAAATGATTTGTCTAGAAATATGCAGAACGGGACAGATCATTTCCGCCTTTGACGCCTTCCCCATATTATTGGTCCTATTGTCCCTGTGCGGGGGTGTTTAAATTTATTTAAATTGGGATTATCTCACTTTTGGCTGGTCCGATTGACTGAAGGTTAGTATCGTTCAACTCTGCTCATGACCGCCTTTCGTCCTTGGCCCAGCTTGCCCTGCTAAAGATTTTTAGAAAGATTTTAATCTTGTTACGCCAAAGAAGTATAACTTCTTACGAGCGTACATAAGTACACACACATTTTTTAAAAATTTAATACTAAAGTAGTTATTAAATGTACCTCATGTTTTTTTTCTTGTATCTACTTAGTATGGGTCCCTTCATCGCAATTAATGTTAAAAAGTACTAAAAGGCATTTTTTTTTAACACAAAAATTACTAGGAAATTTACCTATGAAAAGCTCAAATATCTAAACTTCATTTCCCTTGTGGCAGTACTTAACATAAGTAATACTTTTTCATTTTATTTTTACCTTACGTTTATATACCGGAGAACATCTTTTCCACATAGGTTTGATTTCGAAATTCAGAAAAAATTGTCAATTCACCCTAATGTATCCATATCAGAGGCGCAACAAGGGGGTCCATGAATATGAGTCCCCAAGGCCCTTGATTTTTTCTGATTGATTATAATCCTATGTATATAGTACGTAAAATTGAATTGTTATTAATAATTAATTTTTATTAGTTAATGATAACTATTTATTCAACAATTAGTATTAAATATTAATTAATTAATTTTTTACTGTTTTACTCCCGAAAATCGACAAAATCAAAGAATATGTTGAGTGGTGTATTGGAGCATGATACGAGAATGGTGGATTTTCAACCCGGGTCTCCCCGACCCCCTTGGAAAATTCTCGTGTTCGCCACTAATCTATATATAAAGAAAATTTTGTTCAGTCTTTGAATTTGAGAATTTCGTTAATGAGCATCGGAATGTAACATAAATTTTGATTTGGTATGTAGATTAGAAATATTTCAGTTCTTTGTTTGTGTAAGTGACGAAATTAGTTTCGGTTACGGTTACGACATGAGACTGCAATCGTTTTTCAGAAGAGCTTATTTTTATTGTTAACTTCATTCAATCTCTTTCTGACATCAATCATTTCACAGTTTTTGATTGGTTGTCATTGTTAGTTTTTATTTAAATGCCATAGAATTTTGTGTGCGGTTTTTTTTTTAATTTCAAAATGACTATCAATCATTCGAAAAGATTAGTAGGATGAAGTAGGATGAATTGCATATTTCTCGTTTTGAATGTCTTTTTGATTTTTAAACATTTTTAGAGCATATATTTATTTATGCTGACCTATGAAAAATCTCTTACCGAATTCAAGCGTGTGTGTGTATTGAGTTCCTTTAAGTTACCGTTAAAGTGTGAAATCCGTTATTTCATAGAATAACTAGGTATTTCATGAAATAACTAGACAAGTCAGTTAAAGTATATAAAATTATTGAACTCTACGATTTAACTAGGCATTCTATAGAATAATGATTACTTGATCGTTAAAGTATGAAATACCGCATTCGCGAAAGTTCTTTGGACCGGTTCTAGCTGCTTTAGAAAAGATTTTTTCCAATTAGGAACTAGAGAGATGGCCGGATGAAACAATTGTACTCTAGATATGAGTTCAGTATATGTCAGCGCGAGAATTAATTTCCATAGAAGAAGTTCCAAATATTGACACAACGTTTCGATCTGTTGCAGCAGTTCAGTTGTGGTACTGGACAAGGATTTAAAAAGTGCTCGTATAAAAAAAAATGTGTAATGGTAGAAAGTGGAGCTTGATTCAAAAATAATAAGCAGTCCAATCCAAAGTGTCATTACAGCAATCTTTGATCTAATAAATAATTAAATTAAAGCAAAGTTATCTTATGAAATTTAAGTTAATATTCTCTCACATTTTTGTTTTAAAAAGTTCACACAATGTTTTTTATGAAGCAACGGTTTTATTCACAGCATGTGTTTTTGTTAATAATATTTAAATATAATGTATTTTTGCAACATTCTTTTTTCCCTTTCTGTTTAATTAATGTTAGCAATAAGAGCAATGATAAATTATATCATCTGCTTTCCCTTATTATTTATCAATTATTCATCCGCAAGAAAGATAAAACGTAACTTTCGAGACATTTTAGCCATTTAGGATCAATTAATTTATAAAATATCTGAAATTCTTTACTTTTCACTTTTAACGGTCTTTACTCAGTTATTTCATAGAATAACTAGGTAAAGTATGAAATTTTTCAACTATTATGTACTTTAACTCTGACTTATCTAGTTATTTCAAGAAATACCTAGTTATTCTATAAAATAACTTAATGAACACTTTAACGGTAGCATATATAAAAATAAGATTTTCAATTGCCTAGAAAAAAAATGGAATGGATATTTAATATTTTTGACTTCCTTTTGGGAAAAAGAAAAAAAAAATTGTGATAATTAAAAAGTTTTTTTAAAGTTTTATTTCTATTAAAATTTACATAAATTGTGAAATTGCAATATTATGAATAATTTCAGGAAAAACAAAGAAAATTTATTTGACGATAAAGAATGATTTACAAAGGAGTTTTTTAAAATTATTACAAAAGTAATTCTTGGTTCGTTCGTTTGTTAAATATATTATTTTTAAATAATTTTTATTTTGTTCCAGCGAGTAGTTTTTCCTCTCATAGCAATTAATTTTTGTAAGATAGCCATTACTATACGAATTTTTATGAAATTCGTAACAGTACAAACTTCAATTAAATATTTTTCTTTTTCTTCATTACATTATAAGAACGAAATTTTTGTTGTAGTTGAACGTAAAATGAAAGAAAAGGAGATTACTAAAAGAAATAAAATAGAGAAAGAATTTTTGTACAATATTTTATTGAATCATAACTATATTAAGTAACAAAAAAGCAAAAAACAACAAGAATTCTACAGTGCCAAATACAATATTTACAATACTAGACAATTTATAAACATCGTTATATAAACATTTAATCCATTTGTACCTTGAAAATAGTATACTTATACAACAAGAGAAAGAAAAAAAATGACCAGACATCTTCTAATACCTGTTTGGCATTCAAGAACCTGAGTAAAATTAATTGATCAGGATTATATATTAAGGAACATATTCAAAACCAATAAATTAGGAACATACCGACATAAAGCTGTTTTTTAATCTAAGAAAGCATTTGGATATCTTCATGATTTTTGCAATTTTTTAAAAATTAGTCAATGTATGATATTTAATGATGATTGTTTAAATGAATTATGAATTAAATGCTTAGAAGCATATCGAAATTCTATAATTATAATGGATTAGAAATAATCAGAGGTTCTAATAGTATTTGAAAATCAAGTGATATATTTTTTTCAAAGTTTGATTATTTTGTAATAAAGGCTTTATTAGGAAACATTTTGGCAGAGTGTTATATTGTAAATACGTTACATACATTCAAAAATTTCTTCAGTCATATTCTGAAAAAAAATTAATTAAATCATTCTTTTAATTTTTTTTAAAAATGCGTAATGCTTCTAAAATGCATCAGAAACAAAAATTGTACTGATTAATAATTTTAGGAAATATCATAAATCCTCTTTTTTTGGTCTGTATCACACTATTTTTAACGGAATTTAAAACAATTAAAAAATTTAACTATTAATATTCAATTAAATATAAAATACCAAAAAATATGTTATAAAATTTAGTTATTTATTTCAAATTATAAAGCTCTTTGGAAGTAGAATACAGATCAATGTATATTTGACTAATTTTTAAACTTTAAAGAATATGGTTATATTACTAATCTTAGCATTGATTTTTGAAAACACTTCATCTTATATGAAGAAAAATAAAGGCAAATTTCCTCCAAAAATCGATTTCTCCATTCATTTTCATTTTCGGAATTTGTAGATGTTAATGCAAAAAATTATATATTTTATTCCTTTTTATCTTTAGATAGATGTTTCCTTAGCCGCAGTAAATTTTTAACTATGTGGTTCGATTATTGATCGCACAACACTCTTCTTCGAGATAGTAGTAACTGACAGTTTCTGATTGTAAATCAATCTCTAATTATTTTTAAACAAAAGGCACATAGTTCATTTTACGCGAAACATAATGTCGATTAAAAATTTTTTTAAGGCTGTTTTCAGCTAATGTTACAGAATAGGACCCAAATTCGGAATGTTTTTTCAGATATAAAAACATTAATACTATACTCTGGCTTCACTATCCTGTAGAGAATCACTTATTTTATCATACTACTCATTTTTATCCGAGTTTTGACTCATTTTTTCTTTTATAAAATGTATATTACGCATTTTTCTCCTATACCATAATGCTAAATGAGCTATCCCTTTACATGTTAAAAGGAAAAAAAAAAAACGAATTATTTATGAAATATATTTAAATTTTAAAAACCTCATAATATAAACAAAAGAATGAGTTATAATATCACAAATTTTTATAAAAATTGTGTGTGTGTGAGGCATTTTTTTCTGTCTGAAAATGTGCTCCACGTTAAGTTCACACTCTTGTGCATACGGCCAGTAGCGCACACAAAAATTTTTTAAGGGGGGGTCCAGGGTCGAAAGTCCACCATTTTGATATCATAATCCAATACGCCACCCAACATATTCTTTTGATTTTGTCGATTTGGGGAACAAAAACAATACAAAATTAATTATTAAATGAATAATTAGCATTAATTAATAAAATTCATTAATTATATTAAATACATAATTAAATTTTACGTAATATATACATAGGATTATAACCAATCGAAAAAAAATCAAGTGCTATGGGGGGATATCTGGACCCCTTGTGTGCGCCACTTCATACGGCGAAAATAGCGTTAAGCAAACCAATCTAAAAAATTAATTATTTATTCAGTTTATCATTGTATCA